ATTATACAGAACTGGATAATGCTACTGGGTCCTTCATGTAAATGTCCACCAAGTGTACTCTTAACACACAAAACTAGAGTCAGCCTGAGAGCGAGCAGTCAGGCTTTGTAGCTGGCCAAGTGAATTGTCATCAATATAAGCCAGGAGGCTCAGAAAGGGAGGCAGCACCCATGTTCTCCCTCTCATTTGCTGAATTACAGATAATCACCGGACCATGGCAGGCTAGTGAGGGATGGAAAGCACAACATGCAGAGATGCAGGTGAGGAGGTGCCATAAGCGGTTGTAATAGATTTCAAACCTGTCAGGGAGCCAGTGAAAGTCAAATAATCACTGGAAGATCTGGAAAGAGGAGATGAAAAGAGACTAAAGCAAGGGAAAGAGGCAGGAGAAAAAAAAAGTAAGGGAAAAAAGTGGGAAAAAATGAAAGTCTAAGGATTAGAAAATTTGAAGAAAAGGGCATAATTCTTCTTCCCCTCTTCCATCTCCTCCCACACATCCCTCTAGCGCTCTCCTCCCTGCTACTTGTTAATGCTGTTAACTGAAGATGTCCCTCCTAACACAAGATGCTGGGCTCCCCCACTCCTACAGAAGGACAAAAAAGGTTGCCTGCACATTTATAACATCTTATCATAGACTTGTCTATAGTGTTGAACCACGAGGGTGCAGGGATTGCAGTCAGCAGGGTACTTGTTGCAGGAACAGCCCACAAGTCTTACAAAGAAAAGCCACTTTTACAAACAGGTTACAGATACAAAGCACTTGCAGATTTGCACATGCCTTATGAAAAAGGAGCACAGATACACTGAATCCCTTTCCAAAGGTAAATTATCATTAAAAGTGTTCAACAGAATATCATGAAGGCAAATTCTTTTCTTGTCAGGTTTCTTATGTTTTCAGGAAACACATCAAGAAGTTGAGCTTTTGTTCTAACTTTTACAGTGGATGAACTCTTCTATGCACTGCAAAAATGTCTGCATATTTCACACAGTGTTCTGATACTTGTAGAAGCAGATATCTTTCATACAGAAGTGAATGGGTGGTTGCAACAGATAGGTAACCAGAAACTGGTCAAGAAATAAGAACACACCAATGAAAGTAGATTTATAAAGATTTAGCTCTGTGGATGCACAATGCTGAAAATACCTTTCACTGTATTTTCAAGGAGATGCCTGTCTATTAAAACCTAATAGGGTATTTCATTATTATCCTCAGACATCCCAGGAGGAGTTATTTAAATATATTATGCAGCCATTTTATTTTTTTTTCAGTAGCAAACAGCCAAAGACAGCAACCTGTACTCTTTGAAGAACTAAAGGCAAAACATTACAAATTGTATTTTTTTTAGAAAGACAACAACAAAAACAAGTCACCAAAAAAACCAAAACAACAAAACAAACAACTGTCTCCTGAAATTAGTTAAGAACTACTTTCTATCTATTTCAGTTTCAAAAATGAGCCGCAGTGATTTGACCAGACACTTTGAATATAGTAATTGTGGAGGACGAGAAACATGATGTTACTAGTTTCTTCTATTAATAAAAAATGCTGCCCTTCTTTTCTGATCTTTGCAGCACATGACTGGATTGATACTGATCTTTCAATAAGTAATGGGTCTGTATCATTATCACTCTGGTCAGTGCCTTTTGAACATATTCAGGAAAGAGAGGAGGTATACAAATTCAAAATACAAAACAAAAAGACCAAATTAGTGACTCACAGTTTCATTACTCAAGCAAAATACTTTTTGAAACACTGTCAAATGTTATAGGGGCAAAAATGAAGCATCCTGCCCCACATTTAAAACATTTTCAAAACATGTCAATCAGCTTTCTAAAGTTTAATTGTTGGCTGAAGTGATCAGATCAAGAGGTTCCTCAGAGGTTTGTGCTATTCCAGCACATCACTGGTGTAAGTTATTGACAGTATACTGTTTTTCCTTAGAATATTTGTTTATGTTCATAACAAAAAGGAACTCTAATGGCTTCTTTTTGTTCTCTGTTTTTTTTTTTCCCTTCTTTTCAGTGAGCATTGACAGACATGCCTGAGAGATTCTGGTTTCAAAGCTGCATATGGACTGGGATACAAGCAGAGGCAGCAGAAAAATGATAATGAAAGTGAACCATTCAGTATTCTGATGAAGTTGAAAAATTAGGACTGTTTACTTAAGTCAAAACTTATTTGCATTTCCTGACATTTCTGGTCTGTTTTTCCCTCTATTAAGAGTTTATGTTATGTAACAGACAGATTAATGAATAAAAAATAAGCAAAGCATCCTGCCATTTCTGTTAGTGGCACCTGCAGCTTGGCCAAATCGCCCCTGCTCTTAATTCTGTTTCAAGAACAGATTTATTATTTATATATATATATATATATATATACACACACATATACAAATACACACACACACACACACACACACACACGTATTTACACCAGGATAAGGTTTCTAAAGAGCATCCAATATGGAATACTTCTTTGCACAGGCCTAGGTGATATTTTATACAGATTATGGGCAGATTCAAATCTTGCATTTCTTAGGAAGCAGCATTCATAAAACATTTACTAATGTATTTCCAGAAAACCTTTAGAACTTTTACTCCTTGTGTTAATCAGCATTATGAGAAAGCTTTAATACATGTAATAGGCATGCAAATATAATCGTTTCTAAATTATATGGTTTTTCAGTAGGCAGAACACATTTTCAAATTATTCTGCCTTTTAGATACTCTGATTTCAAAATGAAATACAAGTTATCAGAGTTAGAATTACATACCTACTGACTGCCGCTTTTAATTATTCTAAACATATCTGGAATTACTAGGAGGACTGATACTTATCAGTGCCAATACTTTCAATAACAAGGAGATCATCTCCCATTTCTTTCCTCCCCTGCCTAAGTCCCTGGTTTCCTGCGGGACCAGGGGAACAAATCACACCAACGCCCTTTAAGTGCACAAGTCGCAGAGACAAAATACCTTTCACTGTATTATGGACAGGCTGGAATAGCTTTTGGGCTGATTCCTCCTCTCCATGACAGCAGTGAGGGAAGGTATCAGATACACCAGCAGTTCAGACAGCCCAGGAGGTAGTAACACCGATGTGACATGACTCTCAGCAACACATCAAGTTTGCTTTACCCTCCACAGGACCTAAGGCTGCACACACTAACTGCTCTAGACCCTGCAGGCATTGCCCACCCTTCTACCAGTGTTGCCCCTCACCCTCATAGCCAGGTCTCACTGAGCCTTGGAAGAGCCCAAACTTTTTAATTTCAGCATTTTAAAGTAAAAGCCACAGGAGGAACCTACAAAGAAATCCATTTTCATCCCAGTGCTGGCTGCAACTTCAGTAGAGATTTTACCAAGCTTTCTTCTGCAACATTGCAATGGAGAAAGCACACCAGATTCGTTAAATTAAACAAAATGCCATTAAAAACTTAGCTGCTGAGACAACATTAGATCAAAGCTGACAAAAGAAAAACACAGTCATGAGAGACATAACAGTATTAATTCAACAAATTAATTCCTGAACAGTACAACCTGAATAACCGGGATACATCTCTCTATAAAATCCTCTCTCCAATTTCACTGGCATTGTAACACCTTGGTAGTTAGGAAGAAAACACAGTAAAGATACTGTAACTCTACTAAATAACAGGGCCTGTGTATAGGGAAGGCAATACATACAAGCAAACATATTAATGGTACAACATGGAAATGGAAAATGGATTGTTCTAGGCTACATGTATCCAGCTTTCATTAACTGCAACAGCATCAGCTACGAAGGTGCTGAATGCAAGCCACTGGACTGAAATGAGAACTCTGCTCTGAGTTAAATCTACTCTTATTGTGGTCAGCAGGAAACTGCCTCCAGATTTCCCTGTAGCCATCAAGGGTAGGGCGCTGCTCAACTCTTCATCTCTGAACAACATGAGGGCATATCTGAAGCGCTACAGCTAAAAGCTTAAGACCAGCAGGAGAGCTCATAAACAAACTTCAAAGTAAATATTTTACCAGGCACAAGTAAATGCTTATTAAGATTTATATCATATCTTCAGCGTCCTTGACATTTTACAATAGTGTTTATCTCCTTGTTTGCTAATTCACAGAATTGGATAAGCTACAAGAAATTTACACATTACAAATGAGCAGGATTCTTGGGCATGACTTCATAAATATGACATTAGCACAACAACACTCTAATATAAACATACACAATACTAAGTAGGACTAAAGCATTTCCTAAGAGCAGAGGAGGTCCTGTATGCCACTGAATAAGTGCTGTGTGACAACCTGCAGGGACTCAATGAAGGCAAAAGGACCCAGTTTGTCCAGTGGAGCAACGCTCTGCACTGCCTCTCTGTCCTGAACACACAGAGCAAAGGGGCTGGGAATTAGGTCAGTGAATCAATGAGCCCCAGTTGCAACAGCCCAGCACACTTCTCAGGGGAGGAGGGATAAATTTCAAGACTAAAACAGCTCCATGAAGATTCCAGGAGTTCTGTCTATAAAGGAGTCTGTGGACTCCTTTTTTTCCAATTAAGAAAAAACCCAAGTCTATGCATTGTGACCATTTATAAAGTCCAACATAAAGCTTGTATTCCCAGTTATTAGCGCTTACATGCACACTGAAAAAAAAACCCATTGTAGTGAAAAACTCTATTTTACCTGGTCATTAACAGGACACAGAAATCAGTCTCAGACATCATTTCATAAAAACACCTAATGTTTTAACAAAAATCTGTAAAAATTAAACTGCGGGTTTAAAGACTTCTCTGTAACGCGAGGGAGTAGCTGTGAACAGTTTTGGGGAAGGCACACACTGTAAGCAAATGCAGGCTTTTGTTACTCTGTTAAGGATGTCAGAGGCATTTGCTTTCTTCCTTGACTCATCCTTTTTCTTAGTGGATACTGTGACCCTTAGTCCTGGCAAATCCATCAGTACCAGAAAGTTCTCTGTGGTACCTCATTAATCACTCCCCTGCCATGTGCTATCTTACCTGCAGATGTAATTCTTCTTGCAGGATTCTTGTAAATTCAGGCAGTTTGGTTTCTCCCTGTCCTCATACGAACACACAGGAACAATAGTCTGCCGTCTCCTTTCTGTACAGGCTACGTCTCGACAGGAGCAGAAGAGCATCCCATAGCTGTGCTTTGGGGGGACTTTGTCAAAAAATAGCCGGAGGGCCTTATGACACTTCCGCTTGTTACAGATTTCATTAGACGTGCTGCTGGTGCAGGGGGTTATGTAAGCAGATCTGAACCTCTTGCAGGTATCATTTAGGTTGCAAGCTTTTGCTGCATCCAAGCAATTGTTCCCCTTTGAAAGTACTGGCTCCACTAGAAAAAACAACACAACAGCAGTGAGAAATGCGTCACATTTATACTGTGCTTTGATGTTTGTGGTTATTTCACTGTTAATGAGATCCTCAATATACATATTAGTTACATACAAAACTTTCAGTGCCAGAAACTGCAACCAGTCCTTATGTTTCTCAGGGTAATGGTTTAAGTGAACAAGAGCACAGGCATGCGTTAAGGTCAGAATGCTGGCAAAAAAATGACAAATATTCAGGGCAGGCTGCACTTCATCTTCCTTGTAGCAGACATGCAGGATGAATATTGGCTAAGACTTGGTCTCACTAAACAGCCATTAAAATCTGTGGTAAATTGGAAGGGATACGTTTGGCCCATTGCACAAGAACACAGTGAGAATGTGGGCTTCTAACTCTGGTTTTGTAAAGCTCTGACATTTGTAATTTCTCCCTTGAACAAGTTAAAGGATGTTCTGTGTCTACCCCAGGTAACAACATTTAAATGTAATCTGTGTACTTTACAGAATGTAAAAGCCATGTGCCCATTATTACAGTTTTTGAGGTATGAGAACAGCTCACCCAGACAGAACAGGTGCAGCCCCATGACTGGAAGCTCCCTAAAGCCACCCACAATGCCTGCAAGCTCCATGCTTAGGTAAAAACACTGCTATAACGTCTATAGATGCCACCTGAACCCTGGTAAATTTATGAAGTTTACAAGCTTTGAAGAAGCTGACACAGAATTAACAAGTGACTGTGAAAGAAACATTATAAAACAAGGAGTGTGCCTCTTTCTCACACACACACACACACATGCACACACTATAAGAAGCTACAGGAAAAATTAAACTCAGATATAATTTAAGGCTATAATTACACATTTAATTTTGCAATACATTACCCAGATATTATAACCCAATAGATCCTTTGCTTGAAAATGAAGGCAACTGGCGTTAGATTGCAAAATTCAATTAAGAATAACCATAATGCTGCTTTGGATATTAGGAAAGCCAACATCACAGATCCAAGAAAATACATTAACTTCCCACTGCTACAGAATTTGCTAGCTGAACAAAACAGTTTGCAAATATCTAAAATCTGCTGCAACTTCTTAGGGGGGCTGGTCAAATATAAAACACCTCAAACATTTTAAATCTCTAAGTTCCTCTTAAAGCTTTTTCTTCCTAGATCTTCCACCTCTACCCAGAAACTTAGTCCCAGGTCCTTCTACAACTCAGTGCCACTCATCCCCATTCTCCTACCACTCTGCCTTCCATTTCCAGATCAGGACATCGACCATTTCTCTTTTTCCATGGCAGGAAAAGATGATGCAGCTTGGCTGATGTGCTGCACTGAGGTTCTGCATTTGTTTGAACATACTGTACCCACGATGGGCCTTGGCTGCTCACACACATTTCACATTATACAAATATATCACCTACGTCCCATGCATCTCACCTATCCAAAAATAACACAAAGCATAAGTAACATTAGATTTGTGTTTCACTCCAGCAATGTGCTGTAACTACGTTCAGGGGTTTGTACATTTAACCTTTGTGCATTTAACATTCACACTCCAAGTCCTTCCCAATCTCAGCTGCTTGCACAATAAACTGCAACTTTTTCCTTATGTTCATAAATTACAGAATTATAAACATGCAACATTTGACTATAAATTAACAGAGCCAAGCATTTTTTATAATAGCAGCCTACAACAGTTTAAGCAACACCGCACGCAGAAGAGATGAGATACCCAAAATACAACCCTCTCTTAAAATTGTAACATTTTAATGTAAAACAATGTACTACATTAGCATACAACTATAATCTTAACTATGAACTTCCAAAGTTTTTTTAATACAGTATATAGAATTATATGTTTAGTACAAATATAATTACTATGTAATCTGCAGGGCATATAATTAGGCAATATATGAATAGTACGTGCTAATTACAATGTGATTGCACAGTAATTACATGGTTATTTGTGCCTCGGAGTCAACTGCTGAATTCCCCTCTTTAAAACAAAATTCTGTGGAAGAGCTCCAGATGGGGTGCTGCAAAATGAACAGACACCAGCTTACCGTATCGATATATGCTGCTACAGAATTAAAAAGCACTCTTGAGTATGAGCACCTCAAAAATCAAAAGGGACAGGTTTATCAATCTTTTTTAAAAGGCAGAACATAAGCCAAATCACTGACAATGCAAGGAGCAGTGAAAGCTATCTTGGATTAAAGTTGAATTAGGTGCAAAGTGTTCAAAAACAATAGTTATGCATATTTGTATCTGTCATCCAATTTGTATCTGCCCAAGACCCTCATTCCTCTACGTGTCAACTCTGAACAGGGATCAGTTTTTTGGAGGTTTTGGTTTTTTAAACTAGCCCCGGCTGTAACATGCCACTTGCCTTTTCTGTTTGATACATGCGTCCCTAGCTATTATTTCTGGCATATTTGTCATCACATTTTACAAATTATTTTCACCTTTTAAAACCAAGACTAACTTACAACATATAAGAGAGGCGCATCAATTGCATTTGAATTAAAACAGACTGTCTAAACCAACTCATTAATATCACCTTCTCTTAAGCTTTTAAATCATGTTTTAATGAAAAATTTACAATCCAGAACACACTTTATTTTAATTGCAAAAGTGCAACATAACTATTCCTAAGTCCTGTGGTAACTACAAACAGTTAAGAATACAGGGAGTGTTTCTGAGGATTACTTATGCAGCAGTAATATATAAGGTCAAAATTTCATCCAGCTTCTGTTCTGCAAAACTTAAATTATTAAGACAGGCAGCAGTTTGGCTCTTAACAGGTACTGCCTACTTTAAAAGCAAACGGATCTAATCCAGAGCTACTTTTCCTGCCAGAATGCTTTGGGAAAGGTTTGTATAAGGAGATCCTTTCTCAGTTCCCCCCTCTCTTGGGGCACTTGGAAACGGATTGAGGGCAGTCAGGGCAGCAGCCTGACAAATAACGATTTCTTCCCACCACCATTTCCCAACCCAGAGCTTCCCCTCTCCCAAGTCTGCTTTGCCTAGGCCAATTCTGCAAATCTCTGCCAAACCATGCAGCTCTCCATTCCTGCCAAATCATTGCAGACTCCAAGGGAAGTTACTTCCAGGCAAGTAGTAAGTGATGCCTCACGGCTGTGTGCAAGGCACTGGTTCTCGTCTGTGGCACGGGGTCCAGGAGAGCTGATGTGGAATTCCCAGGATGCTGCCTCCCAGCAGACACCTCCAGTAGCTGTGAGCCACGGATGGGGTGCAAGCAGAGGCACAGCAGAACACTGCCAGAGCCAGGAGCCGCTGCCTTGGTGGGAAACCAGCAGGTCCCAACTGCCAAAGCATTAGGATGACTAAACCCACCCTCCTACCAGGCACAGCAATCTGGAGCAGCAATCACTGGCTTACTGAGTTATTTCTACATTCGTCACCAGCTCACAGCCCTTCTGCAGCACATGGAAGACATGCGGGCAAGGTGACATGTTTTACTGATGAAAAAGCAGTCCTTGTACTACAGCACAGGGTGTAACCACTTCAGTATTTGTTATCTCCTGAATATCCCCACCCTAGCTCAACATTGCTATAGCTGCAGCACTCCTGGATTCAATCTGCCATATGACCACAAAAAGAAGCCAGCCAAATGCTCCAGTCTTTTATCCAGAGATGTTTCTAAAGTTTTAATATGGTTTCCTCTGCCCTGTTTGATCTTCCTTATGCTTCACACTCTTTCACAGTCTCTTCACCTTAATCTTTCATCTTCCTTGCATCTCCATTTCTATTTCATTTCTTCACCTACTGTGCCTTTGGCTGTCTCCTCAACTCCAGATAACCCACGCCATGGTGCACAGGAAGGGATTCCATGGATACCGGGAGTTTCTTATTTCTGCTCCCAGTAGACAGAAGGAGCACAAGGACTATTAGTTGTTCTATAAGATTGTTATTAAACAGCAAAATGGACACTTAGTTTTCAATTTTCTTACAGCACATTAAAAGCAATTTACTGAGGTTGTCATTAAAATTACTATTACTATTTGCAAGTAATTAGCATTGGTAAGTTTTCTAGTAGATTTAGTGAAGGGAATGCTATAAAAGAGAGCGATAAATGTTAATGTGATGGAAGGCAAAATTACAAAGTGATAGAGGTGACCACATGGGTATGGGCCTACTCCAACACAGGTGCAGAATATGGCCTACAGGAACCAAAAACTGACCAGAATTAAGAGGGGAGCCATGATCCCACTTTAACAAAAGTGCTGCTATGGGGTTCAACAAAGTACTCTTGCTTTGTAAAAAGAGTAGATTAAAAAACAAGGAAAGCATAAAAAATATTGTCATCTGCCTTTTAATGCATTAAAATAAATTATCATTTTCCTGGACAAACTATTTCTAATCCCAAACGGTAGAGAAAAATCCTGAGATTTATACACATAGTATTATTCTGAAGTTCTACTTGTCTTCTGTTCAGTATTTACAGAACAGACAACCTACTTCAAACTTTTTGCATAATCATAATAAGCAGATGCCTAAATTTGTAAATTGAAGCTAATATATTATCAGCTATAACCAGGGCGTTCAGAGTACTACCAAATATGCATGCTGAAATCAAAGTCGATGGCACCAAGTGACAAGGATGAGCCTGACTTCCGTGTGCCTGTGAAGGGTACAACCAAGGCTACAGCAACAAATAGACCTGAAAAACAAAACTGCCTAAACTTAAGGTTCCTGAAACCAAAGCTGGAACATTCTACATTCCTGGTGAGTCATAAGTCTTTGATCACACAAATTCCACAGGTCTCTAGAATTCTTTTCTGAATACAGTCATAAATTTACTTGAGGAGGCAAATACTGCCTCCTGTCCAAATCATATAGAGATCAAGAACATTTATATTGCTTAGCATGAACCAACAAGCATGATTTGGATGTGTTCATTTACCATGTTGTTTTCGTAAGTGTTTAGCTATCATGTTATGCAAAGACTTTGGCAACACACCCTGGCCTTTGTTTTTATGA